TCAGATTATTTAGCAGATATATCCTTCTCTTCCTTCACCGGGTCTTCTATCATTACAGAAAATAAGGTAAACAAATTGAAATCTATGATACTAAAAGATTTAACTATCTTTTTTGGTAATTATATAAGTAGTTAAAAATTAAAACCGTTAGTTAAAATTCTAATTCTAGAAAACTATAAGAAAGAGATGAAAAATGCCAAGTGTCGTTAATCCATATAAAATAAATTAATTAAGGATTAGCGAGATTATACTAATATCAATAATTAATCAATTTTAATTTAAAGTTAATTAATTAAATAGATAGGCTTTAGTATCACGTTATGAGAAATCTAGCAATACTTAAGTGCCAGATGTAGTGAATCAGAGCCTGTTGAGAATGTCATCGTTATTCTCTAAATCGCCTAGGAGCGAAGCAGATGAGGGAAACCGAACCCAGTGTTCTAAATGAAACTGAGTTGCGTCAGATGATGACGGTTTAGAAGTATACGTGCAACTAATATTTTGTGTACGGATGGAAATCTGTCGAGTGTAAGACGATGTTGGAAATTATGAAGACTGAATGAAAAGCAATCGGCAATAATTCTAGCAGGAGTGGTTAACCAGCCAAGAAATGTCAAACCGTATTGCCTACAGCCAGAGCAGGAAATAAATAAATTTATTTTTATAATAAGTGCAACATAACGCATAATTAAAAAGTTATTGCACGTTTAATTTTTTTTTTCATTAAGTGTCAGAAATTGTATCGATCCATGGCAAAGCAAACCACTTCAGCAGATATTGAGTAGACTTAAAAACTGAAACTTCAAGTCAAAAGTAAACCAAAAATTAAAGAAGAAAACAATACTAATATATAACAACCATAATGGACTACTAATTAAAAAAACAAAACAAAAACTTTACCACTACAACCCCTGGAAGGTCTTGGGTTCAGTACAATGTGAAGAGGTAATGCTACAACGGTTGTGAAGAGAGGTGATTGGGCCGAAATCACGCTTGGAGTTCCTCCCTTAATTAATTACTAGTTATCAGCCGGATTCGAACCTGGACCCTTGAGCTCTAGAATTCAGTGGTCATCCATTGGGCTACCCTGCATCCTTTAGACTAATTATACCGCTCCAATCTTTAGTATAATTAAGATCTCGTAACTGATTTCTTTTTCAAGACTTCGGAGGAGCATAGTTGAACATAGTTCTTCGCTATGTCCTGTCTTCTAAAAATCTTAATACATATTTTGTGGTGACAGAAAATCATATTGAAATAATTTATTTATTATAAAACTTTAAAATTAGATCATTTAGACAACTATTTTAAAACTCAGGTTTTCATGAATAAGGAGGTATCTCTGGGTTTATTTCATAATTGTTTATAAGGTACAGTTCTAAGTTTTGTTGTAGTTGTGAAATATATGTCTAAATATTTCACTGTTTTTATTCTTCAATTTATTAAGAAGTTATCAACGTTTATTAAAGGATACTTGTAAAAATAAATAAATAACGAACAAAAGAAACATGTTAAATGCTGTCCATGCGATTAAGAAACGTATAGAAATATTATTCGGTCTGACATTACTCTTCTTAACTAGATACATATACATCTATTTATCTAATAGATCTATCCACAGGGTTCCATGTATATGCGGGCTTCTTCAATTGCAACAACTCCAACCTCGTAAAAAACGAACTGATCTGAATATGCACCAACATTTCCACAGCGAATTTTTTTCTCCATCCGGAAAAGCCGCAAAATAAATCATTAGAAGTAATGCCAAAAACTGGGGTTGTGCAATCTTCTAAAAGCTGGTCGTTTCCAATTTCAACAAAGCCGTCGTTACTGTTTCATCAAGGTTTCCCATTATTTTCTGTATTCACAGCCCTATTAACAGAGAACCTTTCTTCTGAAAAAATAACAGCAATCATTTCGGAATTTGTATTTAGATAAAATCGACACTAACTTAGACTAATTAAAGATGTTCAATTTCATATATTAAAGGCGAAGTATACATACAACATTATCTATTAAGTACACATAAATAATGTGAATCAAGTATCTGATTTTCTTATCTATACTTAGGTAAAGATAAAACATATGAGTATGGTTTTTGGGTCTTTAACCAATTAAAACTATGAATAAATATTCCATCTAAAAAAACTTAATCGAAAATTAGTATTACCCTCATGAATAGTGGGAAAAGCAATATCTCCGTGGTCATTAATTTAAAAATAGTTGTGGAATAGAACCACGAAACAATAGATTGGCCTAATTAAAAAAGTTATTACTTATCATTGTTAGGAATTAATGCAAGGACAGAATGCTGAAGAATTAACAAAAAAAATCTGATCAAATATTATCGCAGTATAACAGAGATATTAAATAGAAATTGTTGTTAAAAAATAAAATATTGTATAAGTGTACTATCTGACCAAAAACACTGTATTTTAAATTCTGTCAACCGCTGAGACGATTTTTCAAACTAGAGCAGACAAGGTTTTTTTTTTGGTATATCAGTAGAAGAAAGTGTGCAGTTTCATAAGGATTTGAAAAAAAAAAAAAAAAATCAAATAATGAAGTTTTTACATATTTAATTTCCCCCTTTCAATATGCGCCATTTTGAAAGGGGCTTAATGTGTGTAAGAATTGAGGTTCTCTAATAATTCTTACTTCAGAAAAACTTCATCCATTAAATAGTCACGTTATATTTCGAAGATTTATCTTAACCACCATCCGGAAATCCTTCCAACTGATCCAAATTTTATTTTATTATCCCAGTTTTTATATATTATTAATTTATTTGTATTCTATTTATAAAAAAAAAACTCACAGTTATACTAAAAACTGTAAATGTTGCTAATAGCATGTTTATATTAATCAATTATACATTACAGTTATTCATCTTACTACTGAAGTGTAAATATGACACTAATAACAACGTAATAAACATGGAACGTATAAAATCCTTGCATGGATTACTGCAAGGTAGAAAAAAAAAATAAAACCCTCACACACACATAGAGAGCATTAGCATATATAGTTGTGAGAGCATTAATGAAGGCGATACATGCAATGTCATAATCATCAGAGTTAAAAAAAATCTCATGGCCGTTAAGTATAACGGAGGATATACTTATAAAAATAAATTATAAGTTTATTAACCTTTCGTTAATTAACATGAATAGATGTAATAGATTATTCTTTAGTAGGAATATATGAAATACCAAAATTATTTTTATATTAGTAATTCTTATATTCCAACCAAAATTTTGGAATTATTACAGAAAAAAAAAACAAGTATAAATCATATAAAACTGATTCTTGTTAACAGAACATATGGCTCAGAAGAAATTCCCAGCAACATACAAGCATGATGAGGACAAAATGATAAGAATGACAATATTCTACTTTGATTATACGAGTTTTTCATCTTAATGAACTTGTTTCCATGCTACAGCGTCATTTATAGTAATTTGTTCTTATCACCAGAATTTTAGAAATTGAAATATTTAGAATTTAATGATTTCAAAAGGCGGAAAACCCAAGATCTAAAAGTGCTGAATATTGCAACTACAATCTCTGCTCAAGCCATAATTAGTTAAACATTGATATACAGAGAAGTTCCTCGTAGATTATAGAATATTGAAAAAAAAACACATTTAATATTTTTCACTAAAATTTATAAGAGTAGAATACTTCAATATTTATCTGAAAAATAGCAAAACTTTCAACGCATTGATATTAATATTATAAAAGTAGATACCTTTGGAAATAGTAGCCATATTTGGAAAAATTAAATGATAATAAGCAGAATAAGCAATGATAATATTTACAAACAGAAGTTGAGTGTTCGTTGTGTGACCTACGACTGGATTATTGGCCCTCAACTTTGAACATTTATAATCATCATTACGCATATTGTTTGTTTTTTGTTTCGACTAATTCTCCTTTTCCTAACTGTACCGGTTATATGAACTGACTTTCTATATAATTTTCCTCAAAAATATTCACTATCAATATTTTTACTTTTATCACCCTAGTTTACCTGAATCAGCCCACTGTGTGTCCCCGCTCGTTACATACCTCTTAGTGGATAATTCAAACACATAACCTTCCGTCAGCTTAGTCGGGTAATAACATAATTTTTCGGAGATTAAAATATTTTTAAAAACTAGATACATTCTTTTTAGTGGCGTATATTTCTTGACCAATAGAGTCACAAATACAGTTAGGAAGAAGACCTATGAGAAAAAATATTGCTTATCATAAAAAAAGGTTGAACACACCGTTATACAATTGATGAATCATAAGTAAACAGAACTGAAATTTGTACTTATGATGACGAATAATGATCCCGAATCAAAACAGTGTTCAACAGCTTGTAAAATTCAACGGTGTTTAATAGGTTGTAAAATTCCATTACCTGGGTTTTTTTTTTATTTCAAGGATAAAACTGCCTACTTTTACAGTTTTCAAAAATGTCTTGACTTTCCTAGGGATTCTAGGTTCGGTATACATCCTGGGTAAGGAGTAAAGTAACCAAGTCAAGAAGTCTCAAGTTTATTACTTAAACTTTTATAAGCCTTCGGTTCAAATGTAAATCCATCTACTAGGGATGTCCTTTTTCCTTTCAGAATTTTTGAGAGTGATCTGGAATGGATGAAAAATACTCCCCTCCTCCTTCCTCCCCTTCAACGATATATTCAAAAACAAAACCTTTGATTAGATAAAATTCCGAAAGAAAAAGACGACATCCATGTGGATGAATATAGATTAACATATATGAATATGGAGGAAACTGTAAAATAAACCTGAGACTGTCTGAAGACTGAATTTCTATAAATAAATCTCATCCCATAAAAAACACGCGAGTTATTTTGTCTTCTAAAATTTTTAGTTTTAGTACTTAATATTACATAACATTCTTTATTTACAGTTACCAACTAAAAAACATTAAACCAAAAACTAGTTTTATTTTAGTAACAGTATTTTCTCCCGAGAGTCGACTAGCAATGCTGACTCCAGCTCCAGAGCTTGGGGCCGTTGAGAGTCCCGAGGGAGTGGAGCACGTGACCGGAAGGACGAAGCAAACCAAATTCTGGAAATTGCAGGAGGCTAGGCAGAAGGGCTCCAAGGGCAGAGGGCGTGCGCCCCCCTAGTTCCAATATGTCCCTTGGAAGGGTGTGGCAGCGGTATAGAGATTACACGCTCCCTTCGAAAAGGTGATTTGTAACAACATACCAATATTTATGTGGATTTTCATTCCATGAGTGCGACGATGATCTTAATTTTAACGATGAGTAAAACGTTAAAAATAATTAGTATGCATCCGATAATTACAAGAACCATGTAACTATGTGATGGGATGAAAATTGGTTAAGAAATCCACCTTGAATAACGAGCAAGAGTAAAGCTTGTACTATCCGATAGATTTTCCTATAATAAATGGTCTTTAGACAATATTCTAAACAGCCATAACTTTTTTGCCAATTTTAATGGGCATGGTTTACACGGCACTTTACAACCATTATTATCAGGCTAGTGGAACTATCACGTTTTAGAATACAATTGTTATTCATAACTAATTATGAAGGTGGAATAACAAAACAGACAATCAGCAACGAAGGATATAAAATCAGCATTGGAATACAATTTAATTTCCTGGACTTGTATTGGAATAAATAAATTGAATTAACTTATCTCCTCTATGATAACTATATTATAATAAATTATAAAATTCAATTCAAAATATATTATTCAACAGCGACAATAAAAAAATTTAAAAACAACCCACAATCGTTACGGAATTTATTGCCTAGATACACCGATCTAGGATAGGTTTTAAAAAACCAGGATAGGTTCCAGGAAAATTTAAAAGTCATGTATTTATTATGAGTTCACAACTCAGCTTTGAAGAAAAACCCTGCGATGAACAAGGGCATATCGAAGAGTGCGACCTCATAATCAGAATGAAAAATAAGTAAAAAAATAAACTAAAGAATCAGACATAGCCAAAAACAAATCCAGAACAAAGAGGATAAGAAAGTGGATCGGATACGCTAGAGGTCTCCGAAAGTATTGAAGAATAAGTGCACTGCAACGCCAGCTAGAAAGCTGCAATTCCTTTTCTAGTCCGGGTAGGTTTCACAGTTTCTCGGATACTACAATCTCTTCCCGGTGGATTCAATGCAGCTCTCCTATAGCCTAGTTCCATCGTCTGGGTGCAAATGAGAATGGAATAGTTAAGGGGATGCTAAGGATAAGAGCTAATGGACCAGGTTAGAACTTAATACTATAAACATTATCTTCCTTCATACATCATTCCATGGAACTCCTCCAAAACCCAAATATAAAATGCTTCCATCAGATCATATTTAATTCAGAATAATAAGGATTATTTAACTGAAAATAATTCCCAGCCAAGATGACCTGGGTCGAACTTTGGGAAACCAAGGAGAGAAACAATTTATTTTTTTTTTATCCTGGCAAGCAATACGCAACACTGACAGGCTAGAAATTGGTCATACTCAACTTACTTACGTATTCCATAATGGAAAAAAAATGTAATACAACAAGAAAAACGTGCAATTTGCAATTGGTCATCTGCATAGTTTAGAAAACTGTCCCTAAATTTAGCTAAATTCATAATTTAAAGATTATATCAGTACTAGGAAACTAATACAAAATATCGTCAAACAAAAAGAGGGAATCATAAAAAATAAAATGATGAAGGATCCTTAATATCCAAAATGTTGAGTGTCCATGAGCAACAGAACCTAACCATAATTTGAATAATTAAAGTAATGCTTCGAAGAAAAAGTTAAAAATTCTTCATTTTTTTTTAAAATTTAATTTCAATTTTAAAGTAACAAAATTAAATACCAAGGATAATTTTGGCATAAGAAATTAGAAGATGAGGAAATATTAAACACGAAGAAGTGCTCAGAGACACCTGGAGTATAAATTTCAAAGTTGTGACAACAGAAGATCCATCATCCATCTCCTTTTCATATTCCTAATAAGCCACAGCATTAGTCAACTAGACAACTTGATGTTATGAGTTATAATCCATTCCTAGGACTTTAAGAAAATCACATCTAATAAAGATTAAAAACCAATCTTATTGTTATTACTGTTTTTTAATTATTTGAATATTGCTAGATTACTATCTAGATCGAAGCTTCTCATACTTAGTTTGTTACGACACACTTGATGGGTTAAACAAATCCTTGTTAAATTAAAAAAAAAAAAAATGTAGCTCCCTTGCTGGACGAAAACAAATCTTAGCATCATCTTAGCTGTTATGAAGAAATCCGGGGACGGGTTGACCGAGGGAGCTGACGCGTGTCCACAGATGGCAAAACAATAACGCATTCAAATCTAGGTGTCCGGTGGGACTTTTAACTCGCCATGATTCCCCGCCCACTACCCCGACCTGGAAAATCCGTGTAGCCTAAATGGCAAGGGAGGAGAGACAAAAAAGAAAAAAAAAAATGAAGGAATGTTAGAAAAGGAAGCAGTAGGTATTCATTTATGCAATCTTAGGATTTCTTAAAGACTCATTCATCGAAAATGCCTTATCAATTAAATACCATCCCGTCGCCTGCGTTACAGCACCGTAAGGTGTTAAATAAGTTACAGGGCAACGTATTCGAGAACGTTTGATCAAAATGATGGTCATGTAGGTGGTTTCCTAACCATATTTTTTCAAAAATTCAATGTTTTATGTAGACCAACACTTCGTCCTGAATTATATCCTCTTAAAAAAAAAAATATATATATATATATATATATATGACACAAATAGAGCATGGCTATTAATAACTAAGATTATTCTTAATAATTTTAAGTAGTTATAATAATTAGAAGCTTAAGTATAATTTTGTTAACCCGTGGTCTCTATGTTCTGTGGTCCCCAAATGCTCATACAAAATTTAAAAGATGTGAGCTAAGTGTTATAAAATTATAGTTATGTCGTTAATTGTATCATTGCCTATAATTAAATTCTTATCTGTACAATTCTACATGAAATGCGTGAACTCAATTCTGTATTATCGAATCCAGTGGATCAATTTTTGTTCCCGAGTGGAATCGAGCCAGTGTTGCCAAGGTCCGCTGTCAGATACACTAACTACTAAACCATGAAAACTCTCCATAAACCTAACTTAACAAACTTTGAAATTACCAGGCAAGATTTATTAGATCGTATTTTACCTGAAGCAACATTCTACCACGTCAACGTTTTTCAATCTATCCAAGAGGAGGATCGTTTACCTCCCTTGACGGCGACAAGGCACGAATCTATTAAGAACCATTTTAGTTAAACCACCAATCTACCAAGATTCTCATGCTATAGGCTTCGTCAATAAAAGGAGTTGAAAGTTCTTGACCTGCTTGCAGCATCTGAACAGTAGTAATTTAACGTAACCAACATAATGTAAATTAAAAAAATTATTTTTTTTATCGTACTTTAAAAACGCATATTTTAAATTTCGACCAAAACAGCAAAAACACAATATACTTATAAACGACATGACCATAACTGACGTCCATCAGAAAGCGACTGAAAAGGAACTGGATGAGAGATCTCTCGGATTAAGGAAGTAAATAAAGATGAGGAAGAGAAGCTGCTGCTTAATATTCTTCCACGTGCTTATAATGTCATTTGGCAAGTCTAAAACAACACAATCTGCTTATTGTCGAATCCATGGCAGGTGTGGATTAAGATTTGAAGAGAAAAAAAATGTATTTGTTTCTTAGCTTTTTATTTTAAAATGATTGAAAATCGCAATATTATGGTATGGAAAAAAAAGATAAAATATAATCTCCTCCAAGTCCTGTTTGTTTGATATGGTCCTTACGGATCTTCAAAATAAGTATTTATACATGTGCATTTTCATTTTGTGGCTTTCTTCACATAAGTGAAATATTTTGTCTAGTTAGTCACAACATCGTTACATACCAAAATGGTTATTACTAATTACAAAAATAAATAATAATTTAAACATTAGATTAATAAAAAAAAAGGAATGTAAACGATAGAGGTTAATGAATTGACTTGAATAACGCCGCATGTACGGTATAAGAACTTCAAACATGCACGCAACACATCACGAACGCAAATATGAATGGTTTGCATGCAAGTTCCCTATATGTTATATCAATGCCTCTGATGGAATTATAACATATCTTACACAATCAATGAATACCAGAAATATATGCGTTGTGTTTAAAATAGGAATATGGAAATTACGACAATGTTTCGCACATTAATTTAATATAAACGGATTGAGTTCGCAATACATATTTCCAAATTAAAGATAATGCATAACTCTAATTTCTATACTTAACTAATGTATAAATCACGGTATAATTAATTATATTTATAACTACTATACGTATATATACTTAGATAAAGTTTAAGAATAATTTAATGTTTTTAAAAAACATTCATCGTATAATTTCTAATCACATAATTCTTTTTTTAGCAAAGAAATAGCAAAAAATACAGTAACAGAAATTTCACCAACAGCTTTAGGAAGGAAGATTGAGTAGGAGACACCACAGATATTTCCTGTTTTTTCTCAGGAATGTATTTAATCGTTAGAGCCGTTATTTTGTTTTCTTTTGTTGCTGTTTTTTTTCTTTCTTTTTTATAGATGTGTGCTTTTTTTCGGCATTGGCAGAGAGGATAATCTTCAAAATAATAGCTATATCACTGAATTTGGAGAGGGAAACCAAAGAATATATTTTAAAAAATCATAGATTAAAGTTCTGATTTACGCATTATTTAACAAATATTACCAAACCATAATTAGATTAAGTTTATCACGCTTTTTCGAAAATAAACTTTTTATAAATTATGATATTAAATAATAGATTTAGGTAAAAAAAAAAAACTGAAAAAAATATATGTGCTACACCTTAATTGATAATTATTTTTAAAGGAAAACAACAAAGTGATTATAATATTTCAGGAAAATAAAAAGTATAACGGAAATGTCTTATCTTGATTAAAGTCGGAAGTAATTAGGAAGTTTACGCTAAGCGCGTAGGAAGTAATTACATATGTTAACATATATTAATGAATGTTTGGAATCGAAATAAACTTCTCAAAGGAAAACTAAACTTTTTTATTTCAAAATGAATACATAATAAAAAAAATAAAATTAAATAAAAAATAATAAGCTACTACTTACTACAGCAACGTAAAGCATGCCAAAAAAATAATTTTCTTACCTGCAAAAAAAAAATAATAATAACATCAGGTTTTGAGTAGAATAATGATATTAAAAACTAAATATATTAATTTTTATAACAGAATCCGTGATATCAAGAAAATCAAGCCGGACTATTATTATAAATGGACATTATAATGCATTTTATTTGAACAAATATAAAATAAAAATAAAAAATAAATTGAAAGCAGATTAATTATTTACAGGTATTTGAGAGATGCAAGAATTTGTTTTGGAATATTCTAAATAAAGTAAATTTAAATACAAAAATTAAAAAGCCTTAAACATGCACAAATCCTTAAGTGAACATTCCAAAATTGGAAGAACTCTTCTAATTTCTCTTCAATATATTGCTACGGTTAATGAAAAAGTTCCTATGCAAAATTTATTTTTTTACAGAAGAGCTATTATTTGTTTATGATTTATTATAAGTTAATTTTTTATTTCGATCTGATATTTCTTATTTAGCAGACTACTCATAACAGTTGCAATCTACAAAATGTCACCTTTATCGCAAAGAGAATAATTATTGCATATAATAATAATAAATTGTTACGTATGATCTTTAGGACTAATAGTAGCGATATTAAAATATAACAAAATAATAATAACAATAACATAATTATAATAATAATAATAACTCAGGTAACCGCCATGGCCGAAAAAATTAGAAAATACCAAGAAAATCCTTTCGAGTTAAAAACACTATATCACTTGGAACCAGTGAAGATTACTCCAATAATCAAATCTTCTGATGGTTTAATATTGAAAAGCGCAGTAGAGGGTACCCAATTACTTGGACTTTTTTTAGCGCATTTAAAAGCAACACAAAAAGCAGTCCTCCTCAAAACGTGCAGGATTGTCAGAAAGTTTTTAAATAAGTTTTTTTTTTTTTTTACGTTCATCTACATTCACTTGAATGTTTTCCCGGGATGTGGATGCTATTCCAGAAATTTGAGAAAGCTAAGACTATAAAAAATAATAATAATAATAAAAACGTTTTATTTTCTTTAAGTGTTCAGTTATTCCATGGCATGCTTAACAGTTTAAAACTAACTTTTGACGCCATTTTGAACTAAAAATAAATAAATAAAACAATTTTTAAAAATAGGTAATAATAGAAAAAACGGAGTTAGTGAACTCAACACGTTTCAATAAGTGTTGCCAAAATCAGTCTTAGTCTTGCACTTTGCTTGACCAAGTCGCAAGATCAAGACCAAGATCGGTAAAAAAAAATGGTTTTTGTGTATAAAAATTAAGGCAAACTAGTTACTAATACTTGACAATTTTAGTTACTGTATGTAGAGAATTGGTATAACCAATATACCTTTGCTTATAACTCTTCCAATTTTTCATTCGGGTTTAGTTAGGTTTCCACTATCGGAAAAATTACAATAATGTCTCTGTAGTAATAGACTAATAGGTAACTGCAAGACTGTTGCGAGACTCTAGCGCAAGAGCAAGACCAAATCCAAGACTAAGTCTATCTATGGATATTCTATTTCAGAAGTCATCAAGGAGGATCCGGCCCCGTAAACGTTTCTTTGATGCCACGGTAAAAATTTTAAAATATGAAATTTAGCAAATTACTCTCACAAGAGGTTATTACAACAATTACCACATGTTTTTTTTTTTCTCTAAGAAAGCTCATTTCATAACTTAAGTGTCATTTATAGAGCAAGAATTTTATTTCAACAGAAGTCATGGCCCGCAAGAAGGGTGTAGGACTCGACGCGGCCCTCGGGACTTAGTGGAGGTCTCAATGTGGCACGTGTGCCAAATAATTTGGAGGTCTATGTTCTATTTAGTCATTAAGCTTCTTGAGCTTAACGTAAATTACTTTTCTGTAGTAGAAAAACGTTGAAAATTATTAATTGAATATTCCAAATGGTGTATTAACAAAAAAAATTTATATATATATATATATATATATATATATATATATATATATATATAACAATGTTAATAATTTAATTTGTCTAAACATTTTGGCCTAAAAAGTAAGATTTGTTGGGTCAGCACCAGACTCAATTCTTTCAGAGGTCAACAAAACCATGATGGTGAGACGGAATCATTAGGCAAAACAGTAGTTCACCTCACACCTTTCAAGCGCATTACCCATTCCGACATTACGTTCATTTCGGATGACACCACGGAACGCTATATTACCAAGATAAATGCTAATGTCATGGAGCAGCGTCATTTCATGTTCTACATCATCCCTGCCACCGGGTAATTGAGACTTCAAACTCGAATTCGAGAGTCATCTCGCGTAATATCATGAGGAAATGCACAGCAAATGATAAAAATAAATTTAAAAAATCCATACCCAGACGGTATTGTGAAAACGAATCGTTGTGAAACGAAAAATAGATCTTTAAACCAAACAATAAAAAAAACAAAAATGACCACCTATTATTAGACACGATTGCATCGAACAAGAAGATTTCTCACTGGGCTTGCAGCCAGTCTGCTACGAGAAAATAAAAATGAAAGTGAGAACTGAGTAGTTTCAACGATCTTAAAATATCCATATAGAAAATGTCAAGCCATATGTATTTAGAAATAATTTTATATATATATAATTAAAGAATGTATCCTATAGGCCTACAGGAATATTTGGATATATCATTAAATAAAATATTTTTTAAGGTCTCCAGTCCAATAAGGAACCGAGAACAAAATGCCTACTTTGATTTTCATATTTAACATACCTATAAGTTTAAATCCATCTAAAATGTACTTTTCGTTTATTAATACAGACCTCCAAGGTAAACTTAAACAAAAACAAAAAACAAGCCCACTCCAAAATAAAACCTAAATCCGCTACTGACCATGAAAGAAGTGTTAGCATTTATTATTACTGTTAAACTGTTATTGGTTAACAATGTCAATAGTAATTGACAAATATTTAAGAAGATAAATAACAGTTTACTATACTTCTAAGTTGAAACTTAACTACTTGTATGCATTAAATTATTGTAAATAACTATAAGCAAGAAGTCAAGCCATAGAAATGGTGGTCACTATTCTGTAATTGTTTAAATATTATTTCGTTTATTTGATATCGTACTTAGGAGTCTATAAGACAACTATGGTTTCTATTATTTACTGAGAGCAAATGAGTAGAGGGTATTATAACCAATCAATCTCCGTAATCTCTTTTTTTTCAGGAATAATTATTATTTTTTTATCTGTAGCCACTAATAGTAAAGACCGAGGGCGAGGCCTCACCCAATCAAAGATGATAAAAATATACAAATTAATAACGTGTATAACAAACTTGTAACCGTTATTTTTAGCCGTTATTCAAAATTAGAAATATATATTTATTCCTGTGTACAACACAATTTTAGCAAATCATGTTTGTTTGTTAGGGAAGAGCTTTGGTTTGTAGTTATTGTTTTTAGTTTTTTTTTTTTCGAGTTAATTAGAAAGAGGAGGTCAATAGTCTCCTTGGGTACATTACTAAATAAATAATTTTAATAATTAACAAAATAAAAATATATAATTTCAAATGCATTTTTTTTAAAGCGAATAAAACGTTCATTTAAGTCCGGTTAATTACAAAAAAAAAAATTATTTTGGACGTAAAGGTACACGAACTACGCCGAGGTGACAGGCTGAGGTATAAATAGCGAGATAGCCCACTAGAGGTCAGGCCAAGGCTGCGCCGCTTCGAGTTATCCACCTGTCGGTGTTACGGCACTCTGCCAGCACTGTTAAAACATTAAGGGCAATTAGTTCTCTTATCTGTCTCTAGCAAGTGGCGCTATGCACTCGTCGACAGATCTCTAAAAGAGCGCTCAACATCTTGACAACCGAATGGAAACCTCTCGGCGCAACATGACAGCTGGCTTCTTGACAGTTTCCTGGCACAGAGCAGTGAGGGATCATAGAAGAAATAGAAAAAATCCATTGATTTTTGTTCCTGTATATAAAAAAAAACACTAAGAGTGCTTGCTTAGTTAAAAAAAATAAATACATAATTCTTTAAATCTCAAAATAAATTATCACTTTGAAGGGATCTCATTCATAGGCTATTTTAAGTTAGTCAGTTTCTGTGAACATTTCTTATCACACTCATTTTTTTAAATTGGTTTGATAATGAAATATGAGCTATTTGGACTGTATGTTTGGGACGTTCTGGATTGTGGAACAATCGAAATATACGAAAAGATTATTATTGTACTTCACGTCAAGAGATTGCCAAGATCGAGGGCTAGATAGAGGATTCGGTCGACAGGGAAACAAACAGGACATTAATAAATAATACCAAAGGACAGTATTATATTGTGAGTTTGCGAAGAACCACAACTATACGCATAACTATAATCAATAAATACAAAAATCACACACATTTATTCACTAAACATATCCTCTCTCATCTTCCCCCACTTTGACTACAGCTGTGTGGTGTATGATGGACTCTCGGTGGAGCTCCGTGACAGACTAAAAAGATTAATGAACAGTGAGATTTGTAATTGGTGCCCCGAGATACTACCGTGTCTCTCACCACTACAATGAGTTAGAGTGGCTCTTCCCCTCCATTCGAAGACAATATTTCCTAGGTACATTCCTCTATCATATCATTAACAATCATCGTCCTTCTTATGCCTACAATCTTCTCCAATTCAACTCCTCAGTCCACTCCTTCTCCACAAGATCTCGACCTTCCGACCTTTACATTCCTTCTCACCGATCTGCCTCGTTCCAAAACTCTTTTATTGCTCGCTCTGTTAATTTTTGGAATTCCCTTCCTAACAAAAACCTAACGACATTCGTTATCCCTATCTACATCCAAATCCCTCCTATTCAAATTCCTGTTCCAAAAACAGTCAGATACCAGCTAACCTTTTATGTAAAATTACATATTTTTTTATTTTATATTTTTTTTTCAACAGAAACACAGATTTTACTGTTAAGAAGAATTTACATTTAATTTTTTTTTGTATTTTTTCTAAAAGGGTTTATTTATATTTTACCATTGTACATAGTTTTAAGAATCTTAGCATGGTTTCGAGAGTTTTGTATATAGATTATTTTATTTTATTTTGTATATATTATGTATAACTAATATTTTTTTTTTTTTTACCGATTTATCTTTATCTTTACTTTTTATGTTTGTTTTTATCTGGCCAGATGTACAACTGTATTAAGAAATAAAATATATTTAGTAAATTTGATAACAGAAAATTATAACACGAATCGCTTGTTGAGAAAATACTCAACGGTAGAGCTCTAAAAAAAATATATTTATAATAGGAGATCTCGAAGCCATCTTCTTTTCAGAAGCATTGGAGGGTTATCAGGGATATAAGAGGAAGCAAGGTTAGAGACGAGAGGATTCGGATGGTTCTGAAGTTTATTGCGGAAGGATAGATATCTGGATTGGGCCAAATCTGAAACATAAGGAACATTAAGGTCGTTATGGATTATTTTATTGGTAACAAAGTAAGGAGCATTGAGGATTTTACGAAGGATTTTGGATTGCAAGGATTGGATTCCTGAGGGATTAGATGGCTTTGTGGTGTCCCAAATCACAACTCCCTAAGTCCAAATAGATCTTATTGTAGTCATGTATATGAGTATTTTGTAATTAAAAGCTGTGAAAGAATGTGATGTAAATTAAATTAATTACATGTTACTTTGGGCAGTTATGGTGATGCCATACTCAGGACACAAACTTTCAAACGACTCACAGAGTAAGAAATATTGAAGAACATTTAAAATTCCCTAAGTTTTAGGTCTTTTGATGACTAAAACTAACCAAATGAAATCTTCAGAAAACACTTTGGACTGGATAATGGCATGTAATCTCAAAATTAGTTTAATGTTATTTTAAGATAAGCTAATAATAAGGACCTCCTGTTTTGAATGAGTCCTTATAGGACGAGCTGTGGCAGGAAGTGACTACTTAGGGTTCCCGCTGGTGACTGTACCACTTCCCCTGATGAGGAATTCATTGCCAGCTAAGGTCAGATGCCTACCGGAGGCACTGTGATTTACTGTGATAAATTGTCGAGTCATTGTTTATTATAACTATATAAATATAACTATGAAGTTTGAACAACAACAGGAAATTTATACTTATAGTATTTGCTAGAAATATTACAAAGATATATATATGTATATATACATGCTGTACCGCTACAGCTCATGAAGGGTCTGGGGTTTAGTAATATGTAGAGAAGGTATTATTTCTTGGGCAATGGTTGTACAAGAAGGTAATTTGACCGAGAACATGCCCAACCGTCAGATTTTTCTCTTAATTAATTTTTTTACTACAAAAAAACTGTTAGGGTTAGACCGAAGCGAAGGTGGGAAGATTGCATTAAAGCCGATCTGAAGGGACTGGGTTTGGACGGCGAACGGTGGAGGGAGGTGTGTAATAAGCGATTGGTGGTATCGGCATCGAACCTTCGGGTTCGGTAAGCCTTTTATTATTATTATTATTATTACAAAAAAAAAAAAACTGTTATTAATTCAACTGTCAGTTTTGTCTGACATGAATATGTTTAAAAACACCTAACAGACAAGAACTGTTCAACAATAACAGATTAACATTTAACAGCCTACGTCTATTTGGAATTCATGAGTTGAAACCTATCAACAATGGCTACCAAACCATGAATGAATGAAAACGGTGCTGTCTCATGGGATACGAGAAAGGAAACCGGTGTATTTTTGTCCCCGCCACGATTGTGGATGTCATCGAGATCGATTATCAACATTTTGGTAACAATAAGGATAAATTAAACTACCGTTATCTTGACATAATTTCTATAATACTAAAAACTATTTCTGTTTATATAACTACATTTCATTGAAGACAATAAAAATTTTATGCTCCAAAATATCCACTTGACGGACTAGTTTCTCCCATTAATGGAGCTATCAGAAACTTCGCTCTGCAAGGCCTCAATATCTAATGTTAAGAACACGTTGGAGGATTGTATATCTCTAGAATTACCCACATAAAGTTATAATTTAATTTAAATTGATAATAATACGAACAATCCGACAACTTGGACACCAGAATGCTCTCAATGCATATGGCCGACATAGCCTTTTAGTTATGTGCAAACCTATCTTTTTTCCTTGATATGATAGACGATGTTCATAACACTTTCACGTTAAATGTAAGCAAACCTTTACAAATATGTTGTTAACTGCTATAACTGATATCATTGAAAATGTGACAATCGATTTCTTCGATATCAAAACACTGTTAATAAAGTCACAGAATAAAATAAAACGGAGTAGTTTGTTGCATCAGGTTAAAAATGATTAAACTTCATGGCGCGGCAAGAACAAAGGCTAAGGTAAATTATTATTTCGATAGCTTAATACAGTAAAACTTTTTATTTTTGGACGGTCCTTACTTCAGTTAAGTGACATAACAAATTTATTCTAGAAAAACTCCCAACTGTTTTCATTTATTTCAACATCCGCAGAAGTGTATACCAACAAAGTTGCCGTTAGCTCAGTAATCAAGGTTCTCAGATGAATGTAATAACAGTTGAAAAATAATAAATGTTAACCAACAAATAGATCTTCCATGTGGATCCTAATGTAGCGATAGCGTTGTTGCAAGAAACAGTTAAAAAAACTACGATTTTAGGAATCTGTTTGGATTCGGAAACAGTTCTATATTTTTCGAGCTATGATCGACAGCATAACTTCATAACTCTTATTAAGATGTAACGCTTCTCTCATTCACTTTTTGGTTTATTTATATTTTATTTTCAATAATAAACTATTGTTATCAACAAAAAAAAGTTAGGCACCTCCAAATTAGAGGTTTTACGGTACGAACTATACGCTAAAAGCCATTTGAAAATTGTTTGAATAAATACATTTATTGTACATTATCCCTTCACTGTTCGTGAGCTCAGAAACTTCTGGGCCAATTGTTTTAAATTTGTAATAAAAGTTAGAGGTCATCCGAGGATGATATTCTCACTTACATATTCCCATACGCCCTTTCGTTTCAAAATGGCTGATGGAAAACATGTGCCGCTATGAAATCCAGCGCCGAAACTATTATAACGATTTTAACATAACTTGCTTCTGCCTCTAAAATAAACTAGAAAAAAAAAATCTAAATAAAGAAATAATTTATTTGCGAATTACTCAAAAAATGTATCCACGTGTTATTTGAAAGACAAATATATGGTGTCTTGAAATTTTTGCATGTTTCCTGAAGCAAAGTCGATTTTTTCTATTTTATAACTGGAGTATTCTCTTTCTACTAAAGCAGCCATGATTATTATTTGAACAATAATTAGTTTAGATAAAAAATTAATAAGAAAAAATTTAGAAGGCAATTTTGCATGAAATTTTTTGAAGAAGTGGTAATGAATATTATGCGACATGCGACACACATTACATAAATGATTATTCAGGGCAGTTATAGCGTTCTAAAAGGTACAGGTACAGGTATAGTATGTAATGCATCAATTAGTAATATTTTTAATACATAAAACATTTTATTTTTATAATTAATAAAAATAGAAAATTGAACTTTATTTTAAATGTGTCTTCCTTAAAACATTCTTGGAATGTGCTTCAATTACCTTTCAATTGCCTTTTCTTTTAGATCTGTATTATTGAAGGTTATCATTTTAAAAATACACTTTCGATTTTTTTATTAATGAGAAAGTAAATTACATCCTGATTGCACTAACAATTTCGCCCTGAGAATTCGAGCTTTTTGTTGTTTGCATCGTCATATGTTTAAAGCAAACGGAATAGTTAGTTAAAACAGGGCGCATTGTAAAACATATTTATGACTGATGGCTTACTAAATGAATATATATATATATATATATATATATATATATATATATATATATATATGTAACCTTTGCGTATCAAACATTATGGAATGCAAGTTGTGTTATGCTCTTAATATATTAAAATCAGATACAAATATTAGGTGTGTCAGCTAGTTGTATAATAATTTTCATTTTTTTTCTTATTCAAAATAATCAGCAAACCACCTTTACTATATAAACGCTGTTTGAAAAAGGTAGGTATAAATTGTAAACAGGAGAATAGACAAGAATTACAAGAGAACCATTTTTCAAGATCGAAATAGGGTGGAAAACTACGCTGTTAGAGCAATATCTGGACTTTTTCACGGGTCAGCCGGTTTTCATTGGCTTATTGAAGTTATCACTCTATTCACTCTACCGAGACCACCACTAACTATATTATTTAGAGTAAAAAACAAACCGCGATTTTCCCGGTATTTACTTTGTTCCGTTCCGTTTTTATTCAACTAAAGTTTGTTTTAAAAATTAATTCAAATGGAAAACTATGGAACAGCACTAAGCAAACACAAAAACCACATTAAGGAGACAAACTATATTTTAAAACTAGAATTGTTTTATTTATTTAGAAATATAATAATTGTAGTGAGATATGAACACATTTAAACCATATATACAGAAAACATTTAATAAAACTAGAATTAAATCAACAAATTATTCTCATTTTTTTTTTGGCAAATATGAATGATAAAATATAATTCAATTCTAATTACATTTTAATTGGTCTATAAGATATTATAAGTACTTTTGCACTCTGTATTAAGTATGCTCAACCCCTTAAAGGTCTTGAAGTCGATAAAATAATTTAATAGTTGTTCATATAATATTTTTTTTTTCAACAATTCGGAACTATATTTGTATACTATTTTGTCTTTGTCTTCCCTTTAAATATTATTCTATTTATTTCACGATTAATGAGGTTTCTTCTCACTTTATGACATTATTATACTTTATTCATTTATTATGATCTCTGGCACTATCGACTTTAACGTGGTCATTGTCTGTTAAAACTTGAGTTAATTCCGAAAATAAAATCCTACGAAAGTCAGTAATAGGTTTTCATCCTCTATATACATGTTGTAATACGTTCTATACTTTAAGAATGTTTGAACTTATCAAAGGGGAATATAAGAAAACAATGCGGAAATAATACAAAGAGCGTTGAAAGATAGAGAAGAAAATCTCTAATCCGTAATTGAGGAAAATCCTTTGAAGTGCTAGTTCAAGAGTAATTTTCTTTTAAATAATCAATCAAATTTTCTTAGATCAACTGAGCACGAGAACTCATAAACCTTATTCACAGAAAGGCAATAAACTTACGATAGCTAGTAATAAATTAACCATTTTTCTCGAGTTGTGTGAATACCCCTAGTATCTTAAGATGAAAAAAAGGTCCTTGCAACGTTGAAATATGACATAAATAAACAAAATAGTTATAAATCTTAATTATATTTTTAAACATATTTAAAAAACAATAAACTCCTTCCGTGTTTAAATCGATGGGTCCAACAGGTCCCCATCCCTTTTGACGTCTGCCTCCTTCCAACGAAGAACCTCGGATGGTCGTCTTCCCGTTCTTCTTGGAAGTTCCAGCATAAAAGTCTTTCTAATGAGGCGATCCTTTCCGGCACGACATGTCCTAAACAGGTATGTCTACGTGCTTCTTGCTAGTAGTGCCTTCTTCAGACACTAGACGGTAATTTTAACTCCTTATTGTGTCTTATTCGACACAGTACCGATGCCTCTTTATCACTTGACCGAATACTTCCCCTTGTTTTGAAAAGACTACGGAAGATATACTACATAACCGGTATTGTCCCATATCTTAGATCTGTAATGGTCTTTTAATGAAATGAATTCTCTTTTCATCGGAGGTATTTTTGTACCTATCATTTTCAGCATCCTTCAGTTTGAACAAAAACTCGAAACAACGGCGCTTAAATTGTCATCGAAATATGTAAGCAAATAAATTTGCAATTAAAAATATATTAGATATTTTATTTTAGATTTTTTTCTCTTTCCTTTAACGTAGCGTCGTCCCCTTTGATAGGCATTAGCGACGATTACACTTATTAATTTAAAAAAAGTTGTTATCTTAAGGTACTTGAGATTTATCGATAGCAAAGTTTTCTTTGTATGAAGCTGAATTTTCAATTTTAAAATTATAATATCTTTTCTGGATAAGGGCCGCGCTTACATCACTTCTTGGTTTTCTTATTGACTCATATTTTCACTTATCTCTTTCTTTCGTTCGTCTGTCCATTTTTCCTTTCTCCCCTCTTCTTTTCTACTACACCGACTTTAATGTATTTTCTGAATTCTTCTCTGTCCTGATATTGTTTTTCTGTGATACCAAGTCTTGTTATTTCCTCTTTCTGCGGTATCCTCCGATGTTCCTTTATCACTTCGTCAAATATGTGTTTGTTCAACCTGTTTTCATTCATTATTTTTATGTGACCTTAGAATTGTAGACTTCTTTCCTCATAGCTGTTTCTAAATCTTCAGTTCTCTAATACAGTTCTGTTTTTTTAGACTGCTACTGCTCTCTTCCTTTTTTTGGTCACAATATAGGTTTTAGGATTATTCTTTCTATTTTTAATTTTTTTTTCTAAATAGTAAACTTATTTTTTACTAAAATAAACTTCATTTTATTTCCTATGTCTGCAGGCAGATCTCTCAATTCCTTAAAATCTAAAAAAGTAATAAGTATTAGTTTTTAAACCGATAAAATTTTAAAAGAGCCGGTGAAAGAATATTGAATAAATTATAGAATAGCAGTATAATTCATTAAATAACTAATACCAAGGACCGAATCTGTATAAATTAACGTAAACAACCGGAGTAGTCAAACTAATCGATACTCAATTAGTGTTTGATACTGATGGTACACAGCAACCTTGGGACAAATTGAGGTCGTCATGCATAATCAATATTCATGCACTTTTGCTGGTGGAGCTCCTTTAGGAAGAAAAGTTTTTTTTTCGCAATAATTACAAAATCTATATAAATAGAGAAGAACTTACCAAGGGCGAACTAATATTTGCGATTCACAACCTATCATTCGGCTCGAATTAATTAATGTTTTTTATGATGAGCGTTTTCATGTTTTAATGAAATGAGTCATTAAATACCTAACAAAATGCAACAACACATCCATACTAAAGATTTATATCTGGCATAAAAAATAATGGTTACGCTATTTATAAACAAATAATAAATGAACTTTATTATTTTTTTTAAATTTTATGATTCGAATTATGACTATCATTCATATTAGCCATACTAACTCACGAAGTTATATCTTATCAGTTGTCCTACTTGAATTATTAAAACTACCAATCCCAAATGTAAAATAATAGGTATATTAAACTATGAAGAGTAAAATTGGAAATTTAATATTATATTATTTGATAGATTATCTCATGAAATGAAAACAAATAATCAAAATAGGGGTGCTCACCCTCGTTAAAGCCGATAACGCATGAACCCTCAACCACTTCCCAAAACATATTTTATCCTAGATCATAGACAATTTACACTTGCTAAGATCTGTTCCACGTTTTATCATCTCATCGCCTGGTTTGAAACGTTTCATCCCGATAATTCATAATCCTCTTGAAATATGATTGCTTCAAAATTTCTACGTCGGGTCAAAATGTGCCATCTCAAAATTTAAAAAAATAAATAAAATGCAACGTATATCGTTTCTAAAAATATTGCCCATGTGAACGTATTCATCACAAATATATGGTATCGCTAAAAAGACCCACCTACAAGAACTTCGTTCCAATCAAAATGATTGCGACTCATAACAAAAGCACCTTGGTACGTAACTAAAAAACCTCTATATACTGACCTCCACTTTCCAACAGTTGACCAACATATAACGTCCCTTCATCAACGATTTTACACAAATTTAAATGGACATAATAACAGACTTATAAGAGGCATGGCCACAGCTGACATACCTCAGAACATGAGGAGACTAAAAAGGCGTTGGATGAGGGATCTCCTTCCTTAGACAACCTAAGTAATTGGAACAAATTAGGGAAGAGGTACTGCTGAGTACTTTCCTTCACCATGCCTGTCATGTCATTATATCATGTATCGCCATCACATTGCTGATTGTTAACAATAAGTTGACAGGCGCAAATATATTTTTGATAGACAAAAAAAAAAAATCAGGTTAAAAAAAAAAAGGTTAATATTTGCTGTGCCGAATGGTAAGCGTCCGAGGGGTAGACCGAAGCGAAGGTGGGAAGATTGCATTAAAGCCGATCTGAAGGGACTGGGTTTGGACGGCGAACGGTGGAGGGAGGTGTGTAACAAGCGATTGGTGGTGTCGGCATCGAACCTTCGGGTTCGCTAAGCCTTATTATTATTATTAAAAAAAAAAAATATTGAATAGTTGAGTACATGAATTTAAATATAAATAAACTTTTTTTTATTGAAAAATTGAAGGATTACTCTACATTTATGTCTTGATTCCTACCACGAATCCATGTTTTATTTTAAACTTTTTATTGACAAATAAAAATCAAATTTAAAGGATTTTAATGTAAGCGACTGCCTAAATAGGATTTATTTTTTCAAGTCGGATTATAACTTGATTTCTTTGACAAACATTGATCTTTTTTCCTTTAGTTTTATTAAAAATGCTGACACGTGAGCAGTTTTACCTGTAAGTGGTTAGAAACAGTTTGTACTGAGAACTTCGAAGAAGCCCTACGTTGGAGAAACCCAACACAATGCTACACTGTAAATCCGCCCCCGTCCTAAAGAAGCCGCAGGAATCAAAATGGTGTTTCATAGTTATTTGTCTTACATATAAGAGTTAAAATATTGAGTTATACTTCATAATATTAATTTGCGGTTCGGATCTAATTTTGTAATGACAATTTGTGCTGTATATTGACAAAATAGAACTTTCTTAGACGAGTCTTATGGCTATAAAAGTGCATAGCTTTACCTGTTTTAAGATTTATAGCATAATAACATAGAGTGACAAATGGATATATTCTAATATGGCACCCCAAAACCATGGTAAGAGACTTTACCAACACAAAAATTCTTGTGCATATTACAAAGACAAGAAGAAAAAAAGATCCATAAACTCTTCGATCATCCATAGTGATAGTTCTGAACAAAAAATTAAAATACTTAGACGCACTCAACAAAGGGCCTTGACAGTGTATTAAATTTTAAGACGAATGCCGAAAAATTAAAACAATTTCTATTTCTATTTAAGATTAGAATCTTAAATAAAAATAAATATTGACGTACGCTGATTCATTTCTTATGTGCAAGTCTGTAAATAATAATAACATAAAATAATTTTATAACCTTATTTTATTATATTTTATATTTATTAATATTTTAATGTTGGCTATTCTTTTTAATTCTTTTATTGATTTATAAATGTAGAGTTTAATTTATTATGCTAATCCCTTCTATGACTGTCCGTAGTGTTGCCCGAAATTGGTCTTGATCTTGCACTTTGCAAGACCAAGCCCAAGACCACCTAACTGTTGCAAGACTAAGACCAGGTCTTATCCAGATAAAAAAAAATCGATTTCTTTAATAGTAATTAAGGCAAAATAGTTATTAATACTTGAAAATCTTAGTTACTATATGTTAATAATTGGTATAACCAATATACTTTTGTATTTAACTCCTCTAATTTTTCATTCGGGCTTAGTTAAGTTTCTCTTATCTACAAAAATTACAGTAATATCTTTATAATAATAAGCTAATAAGTAACTGCAAGACTGTTTCGAGACTCTTGCGCAAGACCAAGACCATGACCAAGATTGAGTTTGCAAGAACAAGACTCGTCTCCGTCTCTCATTTGGGTAACACTAACTATCCAGGATATTAACATAATAATTCTACTTAAGAGAACTGGTTCTTATTCAACTGCTATGGGCTGTTTAAGTAAGGGATTTTAATTTGCGATAAGTAAAATATGGGGTTAAACCGATTTGCTATATTTTGATATCTAGTTTAATGTTTGAGTTATTGAGACCGAATTTATTATAATGTAGGTTAATATGTTTATACATTTTTATATGAATATAATATATAACTATTGAAGTTAAGGTGGCTTAAAATTAACTGACAGTTCTTGTTTCTTTTTGGTACATCTTCTTTTCTTCCTTCCGAGTTTTCAGACTCCCTTGCTGAGCTACAACTCCATTTTCGTCTTATGGAATGGATTTCGATCTCAATTTGTTTGCAGGCATTGCTGCTGCTGTCTTTAAGTTGACATGAATGCTACAGGCACAATGCATGTGCAGACCTTATTTCGAGTTTGCTTCTCTCGCCTGCCAAGAGATGGCAGCAGTCATGTTGGCATCAATTTAAATAAAATTAAGTAGGAACTTGGTAGTGTTCGATAAACAGCTATTGTCAACAAGTCAATCCTCTGAGAGATCATTAGTATATTTTTTCGGATGAAAATTTAAAAAAAAATAAGATTCTATCCCTGAAGTGGCGAAAATTTGGATAATTTTATAATAAATTATTTTATCGAGACTACAAAGGACTTATTACTACCTCGATTTAGGACTTAAACCATTCTATAGGTTTAGCGTTTTAATTGGTGAACGTATTAAAGTTGAAAGAAAAAAATTAAGTCATAATAATTAGTTATTTAATTTTCATATCCGCCCTTATTTATCGCTCTAATTAAAC